TGCTCGCTTGAAAAACTGGTGGAAAACGAATTTGGCGCCGCGCCCTGACATGTCCCTTCATCCACGGCGAACAAAACTTTACGTCCCCGCCTCCTATAACGTGGTAGGAACCGGTAGAGATTACTATGTACACATTTCACCACCATGCCTTGAAGGATAAGACACCGAAGAGTTATCCCAAAATATTGGAAGCAACAATGATAGCAATGCTGCGATTCCTGATAAGGAGTCATAAAAGAACCCGCTTCATCGTTTCGGACCTACTGGAAGCTGCACTTTCGATGAGTAACCAATTGAGTAACTAAGTAACTTCACAGGCTGTATCTGACGCTGGTGTAAATTGATTACACCAGTGTCAATACATACGCACCTCAAAAAATCAAGGATCTTTCAAAAACTGCAAAGGATCGATCTGCACGCTTCTTATTCGCTGCGAATATCGGGGCGTGCCAGATGGGAGACGCGTTTGGCGCGGCGCCAGCCGTTTCGTTTTCTCTTTCGGCAAGCGAATAAACTGCATGATATCATTTGCATGGGTCGTTTACCTGCTTCGACAACTGGTGAGCAATGGTTGGCGGCTCACCAAACCCAGCCTCCCTGTCACGCCGCATTATGACAGCAAACACAACTGCATGTTACTCTTTCGGTACTACTCATTCCCCCAGTAAAAAACAAAGCTAACACGGTCGGCTCGTGATAGACCTGATAGTGACTAGTATTGTAAAAAAGCAAGGAAACGTCCGCTAAACCGTGACGCAGCCGCGGAACATCGTCCTTTGCTAGGGGAATGAAAAGTGCAATGGTTCAATAGTTCAAAGATAATCACAGGACTTACCCCCGACGAATTGAATATGTATAAACGGCGATTCATTTCATGGATACGAAACTCTAAAGGACTCGGAACAGCATTCATGGATTGTGGTTGCGCAGGAGCTGATATTTGCGCACCTGGTTGTGAAGGAGGTGCCATCGGTCGCATCCTGAAACGACAAAATGACTACGGTATGATGTCAAATGTGTGAAAACAAGTGTAAATGATAAGAAAAAGGATAAGATTGAGCTCCTCGCTCTTAATGGCCATACTAAAACTATTAGAATTAAAAATGTGCATGTGCCCACATCATCGACGGTTGAGGAGTGTTGCTTTGTGGTGGCAGCATATACGGGCTGTTCGCCTGCTCCGGACTGGTGAAATTCGGCTGTGCACCAAATGCAAAGCCAAAATCCTGCGTGTACATGTTAGTATCGTCCATCATGATGCCATTCGACTGCATCAACGGCTCATAGACGGCCGAATCCTGTTTCACCACGTCCGCTTCGGCCTTCTTCTTACGAACGCGCGGTGCTTTCGGGGCAGTTGGCGCATCTGGATTGCGCCGACGTGGCATCACCTCCTTCAATGTGATACTACTAGTTGTTAACTGGAACTCGTACAAACGCGGATAAATAAAAGGTACAGACGGTAATAAATAATGTAATCG